ATGCCTCATTAAGAACGGTTCGGGTTATTTTTTTGGGGTTTCTGAAAAACTCGTTTTCTAGAAAACCAGGTCTTCGAAGGGCTATGCGGAAGCCGCATGGTCGATAACCTATAACCCACTAGATCCCGAGCAAAAAGCTTTTAATCACTTCGTGGGGTTTCCTCGTAAGACATCTGTAATTTTTTCTCTTTTCATGCTGAAGATTTTGGTCTACAGTCACACTTTGCATAATATTTTATTTAAATTTACCTAACTCTGTGAGATAAGTAGCAGCATAACCAAGAACAATTGGATAATGTAATGTATTATTCGCCGTAAACAACAATGGTAGATAAATGCCAATTATATCATTAAACTGAGCTTGTTTCTCATTTACTGTAATGATATCAAAGAAATTAACTCAGTACAGATGAGAACAGGTAGAATTCTAGCACCCTTGCGATAAATGCAGATTCGAATAGCTCTATAAAATATGGTTATTCTCAAATCAAAAGTTTTTCCGCAAATAAGAGAGGATCTTCCTTAAATTCGTTTTAATAAATGAAGAAGGATCGTATGAGATTAGAGATGTGCAGGGCGCCCTTACCCTACCCTACGGGCCGGGGCTCCAGAAACCAGCTACCCTGCACATGTCTATATGAGATAAGGGCTTAAATATATTAGTTTCACAATGCGGCATATCTTTATTTCCTGTGTCAACATACTCCTCTCCGAGCACCACAATCGGTCGTTTAATCATATTTGAAATGGCAAAAATATGGTATGATTGTAAAAATGTACATTTACCATCATTTGTTACTTCCGCTTCTGAAACAATGGCTTTCCATTCCTAAAATAATTAAAAGTCTGCCTTCAAACGTTTTCAGATTGACGCTCGCCATACTAGCATTTAGTTTATTTTTATTTATTAATAAATTTTTTGTACAAAAAAAATTGTGACTTCGTTCTCTCCTTTTTTCAGAGATTTCTCTGATAATTTAGCCCTAGCTAGAAATCTTTTTAGTCAAAAGTATGCTAAATTATCCGATTTAGAAAGGTTTGACGTCGTTCTGATTAGCGAACAGAAAGCAATTTCATGTCCACTAATGCTTCGCATATACTGTCCTGGAGGAAATACAAATTCTCAGATTTTGCATCACACTTTTTTAATAGTCTTGCATCACACTAGGTAATAACAATATAAAATCAACAAACATCCAAGGGTTGCGTCGCAAAAAAAATATTTTGACGGATTATTTTTCATTATTTTTCCTATTAATATTTTCGTACTCAGGATATTTGAAAGGCATTAGTGACTCAAACATTTTAGAAATCTGAAATTGATAGGTTGAAGAAATGCAAGCTATTTTCAAAGGCCGAGAAACCGTTTCTGCTAGAAAATCGCCCAATATGATTTTGAGTGGAAATGATCGGAAATGCATCCCTTTTCACTTCCCAACACTTCCCATTTTCAAAAAATCCTTCTGGTGTCTTTGAAAAAAATTACGTTTCAGTTTTCGCCACAAGTTCAACAAAAGCCATTTACGTTTTTTCGCAAATTTCTCGTCCGA